TGTGTGTGTGTGTGTGTGTGTGTGTGTGTGTGTGTGTGTGTGTGTGTTTCAATGTTTCTTACTCTTTCCTTGTTTGGTTTACATCCTCACCTTTATCTGGAGTGCCGATATTCTCTTTTCTACTTGATTCTTTCTACATGTAAGACTTTCCTCTGAGGTTTTTAGTTGGGTTATTGGATTTTTCAGCTCCATCTTCACTTAAGCTTGAGTCCTCTACAGTGTTTCTGTCTTGTCATTGAATTCCATTCTCACATCCTATGTTATCTTCATCATTTCAATCAGCCCATGCTTGAGTTTTCTTGAGTATCATTCAGGTATTCATTCTCCCTAAGTTTTTTCTACTTAATTTCATCAAGCTCTTTCTATGTGTCTTCTGTAAACTCCCTGAATTATTTAATAAAGCTTATGTTTTTTTAATTCTATGTCCTGGAATTCATTTAGGTAATTCTCATTGGCAAACATTTCTACTGGCAAGTTTGAGAGAAAAGATACTGGCATGATCTTTCATACTGTTGGTATATTTGTGATGAGATCTGGGCATGTGAGTTTACTTTGTTAGTTTGAAGTCTGATATGAACAAAGTAGGTTATAGCAGAAGAGAAAATGTGTGGGCAAGTTGGATCTAGAAGTGGAAATGGCTTTGGTGAAATGAAGACAGGTGGACAAAGTGGACTGAACTGATATACAAGTTTCTGGTACAAACCGGGAGTATGGAGGTAGATCTTTGTAAATGGGCATTTTTCTCATAATCACTCAGAAGCTTATCTTAATTTAAAATGCTCAGCCAATAGCTCACACTTATTATTAACCAGTTTCTTACATTTAAATTAACCCATTTCTATTAATCTATGTATTACCAAATGGCTCGTGACTTTACCTGTCCTCTGATATCTTGTTCCCTCAGTAGCTCACATCATCTCTGGCTCCACCATTCTTCTTCTTCTCCATCTAACCTTATTCTACCTGACTATTGGTCAGCCAGTTTCCTTATTAAACCAATCAGAGCATAATTTACACAGTTTACAGGATTATTTCACAGCAAATCTTGCTTGGTAAAAAGGTTAGATGTGGCAGGGGAAGGGACTATGGGTTGAGAACTAGGTAGAGAAGGTCCTAGCAGAAGCCTAAATTCCTCTGTATACAGTCAGGGGAGGTCAGACTAGGCCAGGACATTGGATCTGGGACCCCATCTTGGAGAGAAGGTGTGAGTAGGGAAATAATAAAGACCACGAAGCTACACACCTCTTCTTAACTATGAGGATCCAAAACCTAAAGGGCAAATCACCCCAGATCATTAGAACCCTGTAGTCTGATTTCAAGAGCTTAATCAGGGCTTAATACCTTTTTGTTCTTCTACCTTGCAGCAGCAAGTGATTTCTTACATGCCTAATGCACCCCACTTTTAATCTGTGACTTTCCCTGGATGTACTTTCTTTATATATAACACTTGACAGAAATTGATAAGCACCAAGAAAGAACAGACCCCTGTGATGACTTACTAAGCTTTACTCAGAATAAACATCTTCCAGGTCTTACTAGTCTTCATCCCCAATGCATCCTCTGGAAATTTTGCCTGCACGTGTAAGTGCCTGCACACTCTCCTTCATCATTTGTTACTACAGAAAAAAAGGGGCGTGCTGTTCAGAATATTTTCCCCAAATGACTCTTCAACAGCCAGTAACTTTGATGAATTCCTAATTTTATCCTGTCTGTGTAAGATCCACCTTCATAAAAACCTCTGGTCTAAAGTTTATCACTTTCCCCCCAAATGTATAATCTGTAAGATATCATAATAAGCATTCAGTGAATAATTTACTCATAATCTAGAGAGTATGGAATGCTCTTTTCCCCAGCCTGTTTATGCCCTAGCAACTGGAAAGGGAAAATAAAGGCAAGAGTTCTTGGGGCATGATGGAACAGAAATGAATGCAGTCATCAAGGAGGAAAAAATAGTGAAAAACAGCCTTGGAGATACTCATCAGATGTGCAATATCTTTCTGTATATATGTTAGTTGATGGATAAAGCTGTTTTGACCAGTGGCTTTGCACAGTAAAGCCAGGCAGAAAATCTAAAAAGAGATATAAAGAGAGACTGGGTGGAGTCAGGGATATGCCATGTAGCTGCTGAAGAAGTACTCTGGAACATACCTGTAAGCCATAGCCTTATGGTAATACACATATTAATAGAAATTGGTTAATTTAAGATGTAAGAACTAGCCAGGTGGTGGTGGTGCATGCCTTTAACCCCATTACTTGGGAGACAGAGGTAGGTGGATCTCTGTGAGTTTGAGGCCAGCCTGGTCTGCAAGATCTAGTTCCAGGACAGCTAGGGCTGTTATGCAGAGAAATCCTGTCTTGAAAAAAAAAACAAACAAAAGATGTAATAACAAACTAAGAATACAAACTGTGTTGTAATTAATAGAGTTTCTGTGTGGTTATTCAGTTCTGGGCAGTTTGGAAATTAATGAGCAGTCTCCATTTATACTTGTCAGCAAAATCAGGCATTACGATCCAGTAGAAAACGTCATTTTAAGTGAGGTAACCCAAACCCAGAAAGACAATTATCACATGTATTCACTCATAAGTCATTTGTAAGCACAAAACAAAGAAAACCAGCCACAAATCACAATCCCAGAGAACCTAGACAATAATGAGAACCCAGAGAGAGACATACATGGATCTAATCTACATGGGAAGTAGAAAAAGGCAAGATCTCCTGAGAAAATTGGGAGCGTGGGGACCATGGGAGAGGGTTGAAGAGAAGGGGAGAGGAAGGGAGGGAAGCAAAGAAAAATGTAGAGCTCAATAAAAGTCAACAATTAAAAAAAGACCCAGTATAGCTCTCCTCCCCAGGCTCCCTTCAAGCAAGATGATCCTTCTTTACAGCTGTTACTGGAGACTGGAAAATTATGATGCTGAGTCCAAGGCTCCTCTTTCCTTCTCCATGGATTGACTTGCAGTTCTGGGACGGAATCCAGGGTCTTCTGTATTTTAGGTGAGTCTTCTACTTCTGAGCCTTCCACGTTACCCCACAACCAGAACTCTTGCCATTTTATTTTCTTCCCTGCTCAACCATCTTCCCAGAGGTCAATAGCAAATCCAGCAAAAAAACTTCTCATACTCAATAGGGTTCTGGGGGAGTTAGTGTTACCAGAAGCTATATGTGTAGAGTGAGTATTTTTCCTTCAATGCCTACAGTAACCACATGAGTTCTGGATCCACAGCCAAAGCTCCTTGGGGTGCCAGCACCCAACAGAGACAAAATTCTCTCTCCTAGCTCACTGGTGGCAGCATTTGTGGTTGAGGAAGTCTTCACTTCCCAGGGACAACTTACCTACTCATGTGCATTTCAATCAGATATGTGACCCTCGGTCTTCTCAAATCCTGGAGAAAGCCCCAGGGTTGCTGGGGAATGACTGAGCTCATTGTCTGACACGGAACATCCATCGAGGAAAGTTAGATGACTGAGCCTAGGAAAAAGGTAACGTAACAGCTTTATTTCTTCAGGATGAAAGGAGCCCTAAGACCTGGAAGCTGACAACTTGGATTGAGTATTTTATGAGTCCCCAGGGCCCTCCCTTTTCCCCTACTGCTACTGTTTATGTTCCTTCCCCCATGTCTTCCTGACATTTCTTCTCAAAATAACTTCTGATACAAAGAAGCTGCCATTCATCTCAGTGGTTCAGCTTTGCTTTTCTTGTCCACCTATCTCCCCCTGATTCTTCACGCATTCATTATTTAATAAATATTTTTAAAAGTTTCTTCCCATTGACTCTACTATATTTTTAAGCCACTATGAAGAAACTCTGATTGGCTTATGACTTTCTACATTTGCTTATAAATAGTTTCTTCATGGCCTCTATCCTACAAGTAATTAGGAGCAAAGATTATTTTTAGTTCAAGGGAGCCCGAAGTAACCATAGATCTTAAGAACAAGCTTAGAAATAAAGGGTCACAATACCACACAGGCCAAAGAGAACTCGGAAGCCAGAGATATGACACCTACCTTGGCTTTCTCTGTAATGGGCAGCGTGCATGTATGGTCATGAGTTGAATAGTATAAGTAGGAGGGGGTGTGAATACATTCCACTTATAGAAACAAAAGCGTGTGTGTGTGTGTGTGTGTGTGTGTGTGTGTGTGTGTGTGTGTGTGTGTG